CAAGTGAAAGACAAGCAAACAGCAGCCTTGCAGGGTAATGTCTGAGCAAGACTTTCTGCACTGCCAGCAGCAGTTGCCCTAGCCTGCTCTCTGTCTCCTCCCAGGCAAGTGATGGATGCTGGCAGCAAGGGCCTGGCCTGCCTCTGCCTCTCCCCCACGCTGGGCCCTGAGCTGCACACAGTCAGGCCCCTCCCTGGTGACTTTATGCTATTGGCCAGCAGAGTGGGGTGGGAGGAGCGGGGCTGGTGTCTGCACATCGAGCTATGCCAAGTCAAGCTGAGCCAAGCGGAGCAGAGCCGAGCTGAGCCATGCTGTGCCATGTTGAGCTGAGCCATGCCAAGCTGAGTCAAGCCGAGCTGTGCCGAGCCATGCTGAGCTGAGCTGAGCCGTGCCGTGCTGAGCCGAGTCAAGCTATGCCAAGCCAACCTGACCCGAGCCATGCCAAGCCAAGCCAAGCTATGCCATGCCGTGCCAAGTTGATTTGAGCCATGCCGAGGTGAGCCGTGCCGAGGTGAGCCGAGCCAAGCTGTGGCCAGCAGCATGGGCAGGTGAGTGGCTCAGCTCCTGACACCTGTCATGCAGTGGGGTGGCGGGGGCGTCCTGCACTGCCAGACCTCGGGGTGCTGCTGCCCTGGCGCCGGTCACCCCATGCTCTCCTTTGCACCCTGGGAGTCTGTTTGCGTCTCTGTTAACTCCCTTGTTGTGCCCCTGCCCTCATCTTTCTCTCTCCTGCTATTGTTTTTCTACTCCCTTCAGCAGAAATCCCCAAAGGGACCTCCCAAGCCTCAGCTCTCACCTAAGGGACCCGAGTGATGAATTGTCCTGGGCCCTGTCCAGCCTCGGTGTAAGGCCAGGGTGGGGGAGCAAGGGGTGGTAAAGGAGATGGAAGGAAAGACTTCTTATCTGTAAAACTGTGTTAGATACTCAAGCTGTCTGACCTGCTTTTTGTTTAGACAAGTGGAGTAGCTGGGAAAAAGACGTTTGCCAGTCTTCTCTTACATGCACCATTCCCCTAGCACAGATCAGGGCAGGCAGTTTGTGGCCTGAGAGCTCCAGCCCACAAGGACAATTCCTACAGCTGGGCGCTCGTTCCCTACTGGCCTTTTATGAAGGCCCCATAGGTCATGAGCTGGCCAAATTGTTTAGCAGCCCACATGCTATTCTCTGCCACTCCATTTCCCATGGCCTTACCACCACTTCACCACTGCTTCTGTAAAATGAAATCTGCGTGTGATTTACAGTGTATAGTATTATACAACAGTATGGGCCTGCACATCCCTTTCCCACATCCCAGATGCTCAGCAGAGCAAATACACATCCCTCTGCACAAAATCCCCCTGAGGCTGAGGCCCCACTTAGCTGGAGGTCGCACATCAGATTTTCTCCCCTCCAGCTGGAAGCTTTGGGAGGTGCAAGCTGGCTTTCTCGGCTTGGAGGAATTTTACTCCAGGAAAACTGCATAAGTGGTGAAGGAGGTATGTGGTAGAAATTTGTTTCTCAGGGATGAAATGGAAATGTGTCTAGGCTCTGATTGCATAGGTCAAAATAGCTGTTCATAAGGCATCTCTGTATTTGTTTTGCCTGAAAACACACACTTTCCTTGATCACAAGTAAATCTAAGGGAATGACTAAGAAAAGCATGCCCTGCTCTAGCAATCTTGACAGCACACAGAGGCATAGGAACACAGTTCAGCAGCTGTGAGCCAAAAAAAAAAAAGGTTTTGTTTTCTTAAAGCACACTAACTGTCCCATGCAGCCATGAAAGGAGATGGAGCATCCTACATACAAACCAAATAGCTTATCATGGAGGCCAAAGCAAAAGAAACAAGGTGGGCATGCCAAAAGAATGGTCTGTGCTACCTCAGTAGCTGTCTGTAGGTAAGAATTGCTCAAGGGCAGGAGAGGGGAGCTGGAGATGCTCCGGGGGGCATGCCACACCAGTGGCCTCCTGGATGCCAGCTCAGATGGGATCCATGGAAGCTCTTCCCTGTGAGCAGCAACTCCACACAAACATGGTTCTGCTTCCCATAGGAGTGGGTGACCAGCAGTTCCTGGGCAGGCGGGGAGGAGCCTGCCGGAGGAAGCGTGTGCAGGCAAAATTTGGTTTTTCTCCAGCTTCCTTGTACCTTACTCTCAGTTTCTCACCAAGCAGCAGTTATCCTGGGCAACAGTCACCTAGGTACTGTTTGTGGAATGGGATGAAAAGTGGTCTGAAAGGTAAATGAACAGATAACTGACTGAGGACGCATGGGGCTGTTGCAGAGACAGCAGCAGGGTGACCCATGTGTGTAAGAGACCCAAGCTTCCAAGTGTGGGGATTACACAGTGCGATCAGGCTGGTGACTCACTCTACATGTGATAGGGTCAAGCTTTTAAGATGGGCCCAGAGGCTCCACCTGATGGTGCTGAGCTGGTTAATGTCACCCATTACTGCCCTTTGCAAAGGCAGGGGAGGCAGACCATACCTGCTGGAGCCCGAACACAAGCACCCGTTTTCCTTAGAGACTGTGGATCATGTGTTGCCCTGATGGCCTCCTAGCAGGGCAAAACATGGACATTAAAACAGCATGATATACAGTGCTATTTTTCATAGCCTACCTTGCATTTCCTGTCTCTTCTTGTTTACTCCAGCTGTTATAGACCTGCCTAGGTTTTTTGCCTGAAAAGGAAGAAGGAAATGGGGCTGCTGACTGTGATTGCACAGCCTGTGTCCTAGGGATTCTGGATCTGACTCAAATTTTTCGTATAACAGATGTGAAAGGCAATGAACAAAATACAAATGAGTGGCTCTAGAGTGAAATGAGTGAATCTAGATGATCCACAAATATGTTCATTTGTAAAAATACTATCTAGAATACTCAGATAGTACAGCTGCAGATCTGGCTGTAAATTGGCTGCCATACTAGAATTGCTGTTAGGCTTTCTGATATATTAAAGCTGCAGAGATAAGCAAAAGTCAAAGTGCTGAATGCACTTAGCAGAGCAAAGACAAAACGATTATCCTCAGGAGGGAGATGGGAGCGAATCGATAGCAACACATTTCATTATTGTTTCATTAGCCAGGTTAATCTGCCACCGGAAGGAAACCAATGACATGTCCAGATGTGTGATTCCAGTGGAAAAGCATTAATAGCTTGAGGCCTTATCAACAACAACAATTAGAGCAGCAACGTTAAAAAAAAAAAAGATTGAATTAACAGTTAATCAAGGAATCTGTGAACCCCAGAGAGCTCTTTCAAAGGTCATATCCTATTCAAGATTGGCTCAGTTGCTGCAGCACTTCTGGCTGCAAGAGCGAGGGACCTCTGCTGATGGTGAAGAATTGGGGGTTACCTTGACCCCCTCGCTTCATAAACAAGCTTTTCCAGCAGCGTCACTGCTAGTTTCCAGAGTCATCTACATCTATGGTTCCTTTTATTTCCTTTTAAATCTTTTATCTTTTCTTTTTTTTTAACTACAACAAATGGCAGATACTCAGCTCTTACTTCAGGCAGATACTCAGCTCCTCATTCCTCTCTGAATGGGCAGTTTTGGCCAGGAGGGAGGATTTGTCTTAAATATCAGAAGAAAGGTTTTGAACTGACCTTGGCTAGATTCTCTTAGAATTTGGGGTTCCTAACAACCTGTGGTGGTTGTGTCTGGACTCTTCCCTCCATACTGAGTGCTTTGGTCAGTCTCAGCTCCAGGCTGCTATTTGGCAATGATACATTAGCCAGGCCTCATTCCAGATACAGCTTTGTCAAGACTTGATCGCTAGATCTACGTTGGTTGTATTTCTGGCTACAGTCTGTGAGTTTGAAGAGGCTGAGCCTCTTCAGTTTAGCTTCTGTCAGCACCAAATCTCTGAAGGAGTAATCACTACAGTTGGTTGTATGGTTCTGATCTGTTGACCAGTAAGTAGATGATCCAGACTTACATCAGTAACTGGATGGCAGTTGAGAAAAGGCAGTTTTGAGTTGAGGCAGTTTTGCTGGAAAGCTTCTTACCTTCTTTACTGACTTCTTAATCAGTGTTTCCATGCAATGAAGGGGAGATAGAAATAATTCTATTTCACAGATGGGTTTCTCACTGCTAATCGTACTCCCCCAGCCTGGATAGTGTGAATGTCTTGGTAATGTGATACCTTGACCCACAGAAATTCCCCACTAGAGAATGATCCATTTTTTCCTCTGGATCTCGAGAAACTGCTAGTCAGGATCTCCCTTGTTTTAGAAGCCCTGGTCTGTCCCTGCTACCTTCCTCTGGCTTTCATGATTGAGGCAGAGGTTACACTAAGGATTTGAGAGATGCTATGTAAAATGGGCCCCTACACAGCAAATCCAGTGATCTGTATTAGCTAGGGAGATAACAGAGGTGAGGTTTGTGGGCTCAGCACTTCTATGCTGGTTGTTTAAAAGAAAATCTTTAATTCCTGGAATTTCTGTGCAAATGTAATTGTTTATGGTGCATCTACTTGATATCCACATGAGCTCTGGAGCAGCACTCATATGGATTAACTAGATCAATGCCATCCAGTGTATCTGCCTGTTGGTTAAGGTCCTTGGATGGCTCTGCACAATGTGCCATTGCTCCAGACACGCAGCCTGGGAGCACCGAGGCAGCTGCTCTGGACTCTGACTTATTGCCTCCATCACAGCTTACATGTTCTCCCCGCCTCTGTGGCAGGTCATGGCTGATGTACCCACTTCTTAAGAAGACTTCAATGAAAACACATTTCTACAGGAAGGCAGAGCTCCAGTGTCAGTGGCAAGAGCCACCAGCCTCATCTGTCAATGTTACAGGCAACCAGCCAAATTGTAAATACTTGCATTCTCTTTCTCAACATTTAACGAGTTCCTTCTTACAGGACTGTTCCCAAAGCTGAACAGACACAGACCTGTGAAGAATTAATTCAAATGTCACTTACAATTGCAAACACCCTACCTCTGACTCCCCACGGCAGTGGGAGCCTTTGTGCTCCAGGAGGTTACCATGACATTTAAAAACGTTAACTAGCTGCCATGGCACAGGCCCTGATAGTGGAAAATATGCTGCTCCTGTTACTAGCAACACATCCTGGAAACGATCGGGTGAGAATAAAAGAAAAATTGTTAAAGAAGGGAATTGTAACTGATTTAGCTTCAGCTTAGCATAAGTCTGACTCTTGCTTAGCATAAGCACCTGAAGTAGATGAAGCCTGCAGGCCTCAAAGCCAAAATGTCAATGAACTTGAGAAGCATTGCTGGTGATGTAACCGCAAAACCAGCTAACAAGGATATGAAACCAGCTACTGAGGATACAGAACAGGATGTAGGAGACAAATGGGATGCACCTGGGTTGTGGCTGACCTTCGAGGAGATAAGGGACTATGAAAGACAAGGACATAGCAACCAGCCTGGGATGTAGGCCAGGACCTGTCAGAAGGAGAGAGACACCAATCAGAAAGAGAGAGACCACCAACTCAGTAAAAAAGACTGGAGAAGACCACCACCGACAGGCGGTGAAGGAAAATAAGACTGTAAAGGGTATAATTACCCTAGAATTTCTTTGTTCAGGGTCCCTCCTTGGAGGCATTCACCTCGAGCTGTTACTTTGTTGTACCATCATTTAAATAAATAATTAATTTTGCTGCTATACGTGCGTGAGATTCTGCTCCTCGGAAACCTAGGGTCGAACTGTTTCCACAACAAAAATACAGCAAAGGATATTGTGGCAAAAACCCAGATGCTGTAAAAATACCATCAGTTTGGGGTAAACACAAGGACAGAGGAGAATGGGCTTCTCAGAGTTTTCTGTCTTGCATCCTTACAGCTCTTGGCTGCAAGTTTCAGCTCTTCCCTCTGATACCCCCTGAGATCTCTTCCTTGTTGCCTCCACTGTCCCACTGTCCCTCCCTCCCTGCCTCTTCCCTGCTGCCTGGGAAAGAGGCAATGAATGCTGCACTGCCTTTGAGCTACCCATCGCTTGTTGGCAGGCCAGCCCATACTGCCAGATGATCTCAAATATTCCCTCAGCGGGCACACTGATTTGGGTCTCTGAAATCTCTTCCAGCTTTCTGATTTTCATAAAGCTGGTAGGAACCTTGAGATTTTTAGAGGTCTACTCCCCTGTCCCGTTCAGCTGAAAGTGGGTTCAAAAGTTACTGGGGAAGGACAGGAGCAGCAAGACAAAAGGCAGCTACCTAGTGAGTACAGCTACATAGTGACTTTGTGTGTGCTTACATCTCGTTAAGGGAACTGGTCAAACATGCAAATTAGTGCCAGTCTGTAGACAGATACGAAGGCTCTATCACTGAATTGTCTCAAAGCTATTTGATGGTTTGAGGGGTCTCAACATGTGAAGTTAGGTTATGAACTTTGCTCCTTTGCTAGCCCCCGGATCTCGTATTGGAGAAACATTTGAGTAAACCTACGCTCCAGAAATAATTGCTGCATTTGTCACGAATTACTCTTTTGACCTTTCTTTTTAGTTGGCTTTTTCACTCCAATTAGGCACAAAACTACTGTAGTAGCATGATTTTACATCTGATTCACAGTACCCTCTGAGGTTATCTGAATTTCCCCAGGGCTTCCATCTCCCTGTGCCGAGTCAGCTGGTGCTGGAAAACATATGGCACAGATGAGACTAGTCAAATAAGCAACTTCAGAGAAGTATGGCTTTAGACATGCAGCTGTATCCTAATTAATCAGCAAAGCAGGACTCTCAGGCAACTGCTGTCTATTACAGTGGATCAGAACTGCCACTTGGAGAGCAATCGATGCTTAAAAAAAAAAACCCAGCATTTCTGATCAGAAAACTCAAGGGAGCATTGTTAACAGATGTGAAGAGGAAGAATTAGCATTTCTGGCTTCCTATTTGCAGATGCCTGCATAAATAAGTCAACTTGAAAAAATTCACTCCAATTTATCAGAGGATATGCCAAGCTCATTCAGTCCTGGAGCCATGAAGTCCCATGGCCAGCTAGCGCCCATGCTAATAGGCAACTGCACTCAGTGCCTTCATGCCAGCTGACCCAAGAATGGAAGAGTTCCCACATGACTGACTGAACACTGAAGTTCCTGTTATTGTTCAAGGACCAGATTTGTTGTTCTGTGGCAGTGGATAGGACCAAATTTGAGGGAACCCGGAGAAGGCAGCAGCTGGAACAGATGTGCTGCCTCACCCCAAGGCAGTAAGAGTGCAGTAAGAGACACTCCTTGCACCTTGCATGTTTGTTTTATAGCATGAAGGGATTAATGCTGTTCTAGGTACTAGGAAAACACAAAGCAATGACCTTTGTCCAGCAAATGCATATGATCTACCATCTAAATCCACCAGCCCTTGCAAACTAATTGTGAGGAGAGTATCTCCTGTGGCATTTGGGCCTTTATGGACCATGTCCCAGACACATTCAGCCTTTCAACAGAAGATACTCTCCATTCCCTCAGGTGGACGCAAGTCCACACTCCAGCTCTGAAGTTGCATAGCTCCAAGATAAACATTGTGACTTTGACAATATCCAGCTCTTTTAAATGGCAACCCCCATATTGTCAGTAAATTCTATGGGCTTTCTACGTGAAAATAAGTGTTGTCTTTATATATAACATAATATAATAATAATATGAGGAGTGTGTGCTCTCATTCTGTCCCTCAGTTTTTTAAGAGACTACCAGATCTTCCTTCCATTCTTCTCTCCTCCAGCCTATCTGTCATAAAGATCCTTTTTCTGTGAGTTGGTGTGAATGGGCTGTATAGGTACCTATGGATGTAGATGGAGATAATTATTAGAAAAAAAGCAAGCTGAAGAAAGGAAACGCATGTGCTGAGAAGTAGTGTGTGAAAGTCTCCCAAGAACTCATAAGCTCTGGAGACTGATGGTCCTGTTGAAGCCACAAGAACTGAGAACCTCAGGACACCAAGAGCCTGCCAAACGTCTACAAGGCCACCAGCATGCACTGCTGTCAACAACAGGCTTTCTAACTTGGACGAAATCCAAGAACATGGTGGCAGCTATGTGCAGATAAAGGCTACAGGAGTATATATTCACCTGATGAAACAAAGGGCAGTCTGAGGGACTTTCCAGACACCTGCCTAGAAGCCACTGATCCTCCCCTTCTGAGTATACAGCTGGGATCAGCCTCCCAACTGCTGCTCCAACTGAGTGGCTGATAGTGAGTGTGTAAGCAAGTAAGTGAATGTAACATGTGAAGAGTTTATGTTGAGGGAAGGGCTGTCATCCAGAGGTACCTAAACAGGCTGGATGTATGAGTCAACAGGACTCTTATGAAATTCAGCAAGGACAAATGCAATGTCCTGTACTTGAGCAAGAAGAATCCCTTGTTACAATACTGGAGTGAGTTCGGCACGGAGTCACTAAGATGCTCTGGAGCACTTGCCCTACAAGGAGAGGCTGAGGGAACAGAGCTTGTTCAGTCCAGGAGAAGAGAAAGCTTTGTTGGGGGCTAACAGCCACCTGCCAGTACCTACAAAGTGGGTAACTGAGGAGATGAAGCTAGGCTCTCCACAGAGGTGCATGGTGGGAGGATGAGACATCAGGCATAAATTTAAACAAGAGGGGTTCAGATTATATATAAGAAGAAACTTTTTCTCCATGAGGATGGTTAGGCATTGGAACAGGTTGCCCAAAGACATTGTGCAGTCTCCATCCTTGGAGGTTTTCAGTGCCAGACTGGACAAAACCCTGAACAATGTGATCTGACCTCATAGATGGTCCCTGCTTTGAGCTGGAGGCTGGATTAGAAACAACCTGAGGTCACTTCCAACCTGATTTAGCCAATGAATAGATGTCTGCTTTTAGAAACAACAGCTCAATTCCATTAATAAAAACAGCTTAATTAACAAAAAGTATTCTAATAAATATTGGTTGTGATCTGTGTCTCCCACTGACTAGATCCTCTGTTAGGGAAAACTGAATTTACTACAAAATGGTGAGCTAGCTCCCTGTTTGGGATGAAGTACAAGAAGAATAAGGCAAGAGCTTTCCTAAGAAAGGTAAGAGCATAAACCTCAGAAGAATAATGTTTTCTACTTAGTTTTCTGAGTAACAAGTCTTACTTATTAATTTTCAGCGAAAGCACCCAGTTGTGATCCTGGTTCACAGCTGGGCCTTGGAAGCATGTGCTTAGGTTCTGAAAGACTCTTTATAGGTGTATCCCTTTGCACTAACTTCTCTCAAGCCTGGAAAGGTCTGAGAGCCACCTGTCTGGAAGACACGACAATAAACTTAAGAGTTTCCGGACAAGGCTTATCCTACAGGCAAATAAACCAGAAGTGGAGATTTGAATTTTTTTTTACATATACATCCATTTTTTGTGTGGAAAACCCCCATATATCAGAAGGATACATTCACTCGCCCAATTTCTTGTCGAGCTTTAGTTACCCGCTTCTGATCACTAGCCAGGAATATGAGCAACTCTTGCCAATCTAAGTTAGCAAGTAGGGCAATACCAGTACAAGGACTGTAACTAGATTTGCGGAGTCCCACTCAGGGCATCTATTTACAAATAAAACCAAAATCTTTCCACGTGGGAAGCTCCTGAGGCACGGCTGCTTAGGCTTGGTGGGATCTATCTCTGGGCTTCGCAGGCTGATCTCCTGCAGCCTCAGGCACCCCACCTCAGTCCCCAAACGCCAGGCCCAAAGGCAAAATGGGGAATTAAGGTGGGGAGGCTGCTCCGTTCAGCCAAGGCTGTGTCTTTATGGGAAGACGTTAGTGCCGCCAGAGGGACAGAGTGGACCCTTTCCCTAACCGGCCTCTTGCTCTGAGCCGGGGTGAATCCCCCGGCCCCTCCATGGGGTTCCTGCACAACAATCACACCGGCTGCCTCCAAACAAAACCACTGGTGGACACGGAGGGGCAGAAGGCAGGCTGGCCACCTTGCCTCGCCAGGCCCAGCAGCGCGGCGCCCCAGGCGCCCGGGCAGCGGGAGAGGGGCGCCG